TATGCTAACTATACTAAAATTAGCGTATGCATGCTCAAAATATTTTTCTTTTACTTTATTTAAATAAGTTGGGCGTTTTCTGTATACTCATTAGGTAGGGCCTGCCAATGCGCCTAAATTGTAAGATACATTCTCTCAAGGGCCTAAAGCTATTTACTTCAAATAAAAACACTCGAGGAATAATGGTGTTTTTATTTTTGTAGGGCTCGTGCCCTAATTTTAGCGACGACCTGATATGCACTTCTGGAATTAGGGAAAATAATATTACGAAAGGGCATTTCAGCCCATTTACAATAGTAGTTATGAAAATTTTTAAAATCGCGGATAAATAATTTACAAGGAAATTCATAGAAATAGAAGGTGGAAGGAGATGAAACTGTTGATTTGAATTGTTGAACTGAACTGGAATAAATAGGAGCCAACGGGCCTCTAGTCGGCTTACTCTAAGTTCCAATGTGTCTAAATTGGCTAGTGTGTGTATAAAAACAAAGCCAGCAATAAATTGAGGAGATTAGCCATGACATGATGACCAAGTGAATAAATATAGACTAATTTATAATGGTGATCTAATTTCGTGATCTCAGGAAGACTTCATTGGGCGTGCTATGTACAAAGTTCTCTGTCATAGTAATTATCATAGCTCCCAGCCTCGTACCATGAACTTGGTAAATTATCAGACGTTTTGCCAGCATCGTCAGTGAAGCATGCCATTCTTAATATCAGCTTACAACTCGTCAAAGTGATTCTTGAAGTCAATTCCTATATTAACTTTCTATAAAAACGGTTGTGCTATCACTCTTTTTTCTGTCCTGGTCTATATATATACCTCCAGTGATCTCAGCTCACCCCTGCCAAAGAACAATAGCTGAGTTGTTTATGAAGGTGCTCCCTTTTTGGGCAGTTTAGTGTCGCTTATCACACTTACTGTTTGTCTTGCCTATTCCTTCTCGCTTTGCTGATTAGATTCAGGCCTCGTATCCCGATCTCCTGCATGGGCCCGTAGATCCGTTCCTTACTTGTCTAGCTAACCGACTTTGTACGTTTTACTCCAGCCACTATTTTCCATGCCATCAGTAACACTTAAAAAATCGCCTCTTTTGCAAAGCATATAAGCTTTGGTTTTCATTCCTGCAGATATTGGGTACTTCCTTCATTCAACCTTTATACCCTTTGCTCGCCTGCTGCCACTTGAGTTTATTTCCTGTTGATTTGGCTATGTTGATGATTTTCTGTAATGATTGTGATTATCCGCCTCTTTAGTCACGTAACCGCTAGGCTTTCGAGGTTGTCGGCGTTCCTTCGAGGAGAGAACACTAATAGAAAACATCTTTGCTTGATTTCCGAAACTTCCTCAATCGCCTATTCCTACAATCCTTCTTCCCCTGGTTAACGATGCGCCCTTGATCCAGGCGTATCTTTATTGCTTGTCTTGTCTTTTATTTCCTTTCTTCGAGTTATCGATAGCTCTGAAAGTCTCCGATCTTCTGTTCATTAAATTTCCTTTCGAAGGAGGTCGATTGATTCCTTAATCAAAGATGCTTGCAAATTCTCGCCCTGTGTATTCATTTTTCTCCAATTATCCTCTAGACTGATTAACTATAAAATATATATAATGACCAGGATGTTGTGGCCTCTATTTTGGCCGCAGTCTTTTTTTTATGGAAAAAAATGGTCTGACCCCGTTTCTGTAGCTTGATAATGTTGTCAGGAGGACTTAGTCGGAAGCACTTTGTCCGCAATCCTCTGATATAGTAGTTATCATAATTCTCAGCGTCAGACCGTAGACATGGTAGATATCTTAATGTTTATTCGGCATGGTCAGTGAGTTGTGTCATTCTAAGCATCAAGCTACAACTCGACAATGGACTAGTGAAATCAATCCCTCAACCAACTTTCTGCCGAAACGGTTGTGCTCTTTTGTTTCTGTCCTGGCCCATCTTTCTACTCCCTATTCTTTTACCTAATAACGCTCTATTACAACTTCTGGTCTGCTTATATTCCACTATCATTAGCTCTGCCTTCTTTTATGCTTCTGCTCATTCGATTTATTTCCGCAAGAATGTCAATGGTCTCCCTAAGCTGCCATCTCCTATTTTTAAAATATGATGCCCTTCTTCCTGTTGTCTCCTCATTGATCCCGTGTCAAGCCTGTGTAATGTATTACTCTGTTTATGATCTGTCAATATAAAGGCAACTGAAGTCATTACATTGACCAGTCTTCTATAGAAACGGTTGTGTTATCTCTCCTCTTTCCTTCCTGCAAATCTGTCTTGTAATCTAATCTCATATCTTGTATACATTATAAACTTATCCGTTACACTTAACAATTCTATGAGAATAAATTAGCCACCCAAATCAGAGGATCTTTTTGTTTGTATCTAGGTTTTTAAGACTATCAGTAGATCACTTATATGATATGTATTCATCGTATTTCGTTTAAGCGATAGTTAGTTGAATTTTTCCGCAATAATATGAGTAGGCCTTGCGCATCCACAAAATTTTTAAAAAACCTCGTTTTCTTAAAACGTATTCTTATTCAGGCTGTATCAGACCGATGTTTTGACCTCGTTTGTGTTGGTTTCTTCAGCACCCTCTAACGAGACTCGAACCATGCCAATGCAGCATATAATCTCGACACCGTAATCTCCTTGTCACCTTGGACATCCTTATGAAGTTAATCAGTATCTCTGGCAAGTTACTTGAGGAGACCAAACAGAAAATTGGAATGAAAATAATACAAATAATCTTAAAATCGTGAATTAACGCTATGAAATACACTTGTGAGAATATTCAGGATTCTAGAAATGAATGAGCAATTGACCATTCAGGCGGACCAAGGAGGAGCGTCAGAAATAATTGTCAGAAATCCATATACCGAGAAGATGGAATGTATACTGTGAGACAAGAACAATTATCGTGTATTAAAGAAGCACCCAACTATTAAGATTAATATAATATTACATGACATGCTGGAGGATATGCATAGAAACGAGATCGATGGGCGAACAATAATCTCATTACTAAAAAAAGGATTCACGACAACCAATAGTATATGGATTGCCAAAGATATTCAAGGAAAAGGAACCACTAAGGCTGATATTCAGCAATAAGTATAGAGCAACACACAAATAGAAAAAGTTTATATGTCTGGAACTCAAGAAGGTAAACGACAAATTATCTACCACAGTGAAGAATTTATATAAATTTTTTGAAACGATCAAAAACATTATACTGAAATAAACAAAATTATTGGTAAGTGTTGAGGAACCACACATTCATAGCGGCCAGCTGACTATCTTGGATCGAGAGGGGATATCATAGATGCAGAGAGGATCAGGAGGGAGTCGGTAACATGGCTAATAAACTTGGCGATAAGGACTAACTACTTCATATTCATTATCGACATCTATTAGCAGATATTCGGACTGCATATATGATAGCCGCTCCCATCTCCATTGGCAAATACATACATGAACAAATAAGAAGAGAATTTCAAGACTCCAGCTGTGCAACCAAGAGTATTTATGCTTTACCTAGATGATTAATTAGCACCTAGGTGGCATGGAAGAGAAATATTAGATGATTTCCTAAAGTTTATAAGCCAGCATGATGATAAAAACCAAGTTCACAATTGAAGTAGGGAAGGAGGGGCGTTTACCTTTCCTGGATTTTAAAGTTGTAATGACCTATCCCTGCACCTTTCCCATTCAATTTTTAGTATTGTTACCTCAAAAATTGAGATGGAAAACTACGCACTAGAATATCAAGTAGCTAGCATACCGTTTAGGTTGGTCACGTTATCGTGACCGCTTAAAGAAGCACATCACACTACATCGAAATAGACACGGTAAAAATTGAAAAAAGGAAAGCGTGATAGGAGGATATAGGAAATGTGAATAGCCCAGTGTAGAGGGGGAGATACCACAACTGTTTAGCTCACGTTTGGTCAAAGGATCGGCTTCACTTGTCTCTTTGACGATTTGCTGAAGGATGCAAAGAATTGCGATATTCACTGATGATGCCGACTACGATGCCGGCGAACGTCTGGGAATGTACCACGTCCACGGTCCTACTCTGGAAATGATAATGCATACAATGGACTCCGGAAAAGGTGCGTTCCTTAAAGTCTTCCTACCAATATAAGCGAGTTGCGAAAACAAGATCAAACAACTTCTATACAGCGAAAGGAGACTACGACCACACAAAAGGCCATACCATCTTGGTCTTCATACCTTCGAGTAATAAAGGCAATTATCAAGCAATAATGAAGTCGAATACGACTTGTGTGATACTACTGGCAATTTATCAATTTAAGGACCGATATTGTATATTATCACATATATTATAATATATGATGCAGAGTATGTTTTACAAGGTATTCCTTATGCCTTAATAAAGTTTCTAGGAGGTAAAACC